GGGGCGGGTGGGGCGGAAGGAGCACCAAACATACCTTGATTTGGACCAGGAAATCCCTTAGGTGCTCCTTGAAGGCAGGAATATCCTGGTTTAAACTGAAGAGTCCTGTTACAAACAGCTTAACCTGGGCACTAACAGTAAACACATCAGTTAGTATTTCAAGACATAAGAACCCACTTAAAAGTATTAAAGAATGACGGCACGCTTACTCTTGCAGGTGAGGAAACGCAGATTTGAGAAGATTAGCAACATACTCCTGAATAAACATTTGGTTGTTCACTGGATTTCCAGGGTTTAACGGAGTACTTATTTTTCCCTCTTCTACTAAGTTGAACATGTATGCAAGGATTGATGCATGCATTGTCAAACCTGAACAGATCAAAGTTAAGAGTTATTATTCAGAACAGGATGCGTAACATTATCTTGATGTTCAAAAGGATTGTTTTCATCAACCGGCTCACATATATGCGTTCTTACCAGCAGTGTGTGAGGTGTCTGTTACAACTGAGAAAATGTGCTGAAGGATATCACAGAAATATGTCTGATAGAAACTCTGGGCAGCAGTCTCTTCTTGTGCAACATTCTGTAGTAGAGTATAAAGTATCTGAAGTCCTGGAAAATTAAAAAACTAAGTTGACCAACGGAACAATATTAAAACGTCTATGCATATTTTTGCCTTTTCCAAAGTGTCCTGGTTTCGGCTAGGATAGAGTTAATTTTCTTCCTAGTAGTTGGTGTAGTGCAGTGTTTTGGATTTAGCATGAGAACAATGTGATAATGCACTGATGTTTTAGTTGTTGCTAAGTAGTGCTTATATTAAGTCAAGGACTTCGCAGCTTCCCATGCTCTGCCAGGTGCAGAAGAAGCTGGGAGGGGGCACAGCCGAGACAGCTGACCCAAACTGGCCAACGGGGTATTCCATACCATATGACATCATGCTCCGTATATAAGCTGGGGGGAGTCAGCTGGGGGGCAGCGATCGCTGCTCGGGGACTGGCTGGGCATCAGTCGGGAGGGGGTGAACAGTTGTGTCACTTGTTTTTCCTGGGTTTTGTTCCTCTCTCTTATTGTTTTACTTTTCATTACAATTTATTATTATTTTTTTATTTCAAGTATTAAACTGCTCTTATCTCAATCCACGAGTTTTCTTACTTTTGCTCCTCCGATCCTCTCCCCCATCCCACCGGAGGGGGGAGCGTGAGCAAGCGGCTGTGTGGTGCTCAGTTGCCGTCTGGGGTTAAGCCACAACAAAGCAATACAAATATCCCCAGAAATTCTGATAGGCACCAAAAAGACAAGTATTACACATGCAATTATTTTCTCAGGCATTTCCTCAAGTAGCCACTAGAGGGCTGTAGCTACATTTACATGGCATGCAGATTTTATTTGCACTATTAGATGACAGAAGCAAAAAGAACCAATCACGTCACTTTATTGGTACTAATGAAGGTGAGAGAAACCCTCTACCAAAAGAAATGTTTGCTAATTTAAGAAGGGAAAGTGTTTTAATTTTTAATATTACATGAAAAGTTAAATTACTTTACTAGGTGAAACGCAACTGAAAGGTATCTTTTATCCCCATTCCTTCCAAACACAAACACAAGGCAATTGGCTAAAAACTAAATGGCTTCACAACAATTTTTTTATCCAGTAGTCAAGGTAGTGCACTAAGCCCAAGATCTTAAAAAAAATAATGTTTTTAGAATTTAAGACTTTTATATAGCCTCTCCTAGTCTCCCTTGATAACTGTCGTTCTGGAGGGCTTTTTAATTACTCAAGTCTGTTAAATGAAGTGATACACTCAGCTGCTCCATGAAATCTCATCCTAAGTTTAAACAGCTTGCTCTTGTCCACAGGAAGCATAATCCACCTTCTTAACAATCTAAAGTGTTTCCCTTTCCTTATGCCGTGGGCTCGCTCCCAGACCGCGAGTTCAGCCCGCACCCCAATCATTCACTTTTCTGCTGGACTTTTCAGTAGTTACTGAGCAACCGTCTTACCGAGGTATTAAGTCAAACACCGCAGGCAGCACTACAAAAGTAGAGCTGTAACACCAGTTTTAGCAGCAGTGAGCTGTTGCATCAGTTCAGCAGAAACTGTAACAGTGCTCTCTTACAGCTACGGGCATGAAACAGCATCCAAGTATTGCAGCCCATTAACCTGGCTGACAACTTGAAGCTGAGACAGAAGAATATTATTCTTGTGCAAATGCAGTACAGAATCATGTGACTGGAATGCTAAGTTTGACTAAAGAAAAAGACGCAAGAAAACAGCATTCTACTAGAAAATATCTGATACTGCAAACGAAGTCTGCATATTAAACAGTTCCATTTACCTGTGTCTGCAACATTTCTCATTGTGTGTTTGAAAGCCCAAATAATAGAATCCAGAACAAGTTTGAACTGTGCAGGTGGAATGGCCAGGAATGCTGGGAAGCAATGAGAATTTACAGCCTGAAGTAGCAAGAAGAAATTTGTTCTATGTTCAGGATATTCTTCAAAGTCCTAGAAGGAGAGGGGGGGAAAAAAACCAGTCAAGCTTCCTAAAGATCCACCATAAGATCTTCTGTTAAGTAGAGTGAGTCAATAGCTGACATAGAACAGCATTTAGATCCCAGGCTTAAAATAACCTTAAATGCAAAGCAAAGATTACATTTCTCAGGGAACTTTTTTCCCCATTTTTCCCCACCAAAGCTTGGTAAGATCATCTTCTAGACCTACACAACACTGGCAGGCCAAGCCACGTTTTGTCAGTACAGAACCTTAATCACTACTCAGTCCACAGATAAACAGACAGATGGTCTCAACACTGGTTAAGCACCTACGTTGCTACAGGGGTACAATTTCTGGTTACACCCTATTGCAAAGTAGCACCAATTCAGCTGGGAGTGCTCAAGTATTATGCAAATACATATCGCACACTATAGCATAAGAATTGCATTAGCGAGGAAATACTCAAAATGACTGATCAGTACTTATATCCATAAATTTTAAATATTTATGAATTTTAGCAGTTAGTCCTACACTGACATTTGACTGAAGTACACTTCTGCTTCCAGAAGCATGACATTCCAAGTCCCTAGAACAGAAAAATTACTAGTGACAAACTGAGAGCTAAACAGAGAAATTTTTAAGGCAATGAGATTAAGACATCCAACTAGACAGCCAGACTTCAACACAAGTATGGTCGTTTGAGCAGAAATTTCTCGAAGTGCCACAAATGCACTTTTTGACTGCAAAAACCAGGGAGATGATCCACAAGACACCACATATGGAAATGATGTTCACAGAAAGAAGGCACGAACCCCTGTTTAATTTCCATAAGATGAAAGCTGTGTAGTAACTACATTCACTACATCCTGCCTCCCTTCATTGCAAGGAAAGGGTATCTTTCACTTAGAGATGTACCAACAGCCAAGACTAGTACTCTTACAAAACCCCATTTTTTTGTCTTCAGTCATTAGGGAAACACCTTATCCAAAGTTTAAATATAAATACCTTGTTGATCATATTTAACGTGCACTCAAAAACAGCATCAAATATCTGAGGTATTTCAGCAGTAATGTGTCCACCCAGCTTGTTTACAATGATAGCCATAGTACTAAGTACTTCAGGTTCTCTAGCGGCTGGAACATTTCTCTGGTAGTCAATGAGAACTGCATCCAACAAGGGAGGAACAAAGTTTTCAGCTACCTAATCAAAAGAGTAAGCCACGGTTATAACAACACAGTTATTGAAAAAAGTCTCTAGCGTACAATTTATAGCAAAGTTTGTTGTTTAGTTACAGGCAATACTTTTCCTAAGGAAGCTGAAATACGTTACCCTTCCATGAACTCCCCACCCTCCATATCCATCCAGCAGGGCTTCCCATAGGGTTCTCTTAAACCTCCCTGAGTCGCTTTAAGATTACTCTCGGGTAAAATTAACTGAAGTATCTCAAATGTAGCTCAGGCTTACCTCTGTATGACCATACTTTCTCCATTATATTTTACAGACCTCCTGAAGCAAGTTCCTGTGACCAACTGATTCAGTCAACAGCAGAAAAAAACCAACCAAACAAATTTCATCCTAAATCTGTCTTACGAGTTATTTGTACAAAATAAATCTACTTACCATCTGAGGATCACTGGACCTGCTCACCCAGCCAGAAATTAGTTTTAAAGTTTCCCTTTTTACAGTCCTCATACTTCTAATCAAGGGCTGCTTTGTTACCATTTCACCTGAAAAGTTTTAAATCTTCAGTTAATCAGGTAAGGTGTAACAAAAAGATTAACTTAAATTGGTATTACAAAAGAGAATGCTTGATTTTTATATCCGAACTACAAAGACTATTAAAGACTTCTTATGCATATTGTGCAAGTTAAAAAAAAACCTACCTTCCCATTCTAGCTCCATAGATCCAAGTTGCCATTTAGCATTACAAAACTACTACTGACAGTACCTGACTTAGAGAGTTCAAAAACAAAGCTGCAACTTACTTTTCAAGTAGGGGAAATCACGCATATTCACTTAACTACCTGGACTGAGCTTACATCGGGTTCTCATTAAGTGATGGCGGGGAGGAGAACAACAAAGTTCCTAACTTCATTTAAGAGAAATAATCCTTCCACTTGTCTTTGCGTGTAAAGTCCACACTTATCCTTAAGCAGCCTTATCCTTAGTTCAGTTCTTACCCCCAATCATTGTAGTCTCATTAGAGAAACCTGATGTAATTAACTGCACAGCCATACAACCATTACAGTACTTGCACGGGGAAAACCTGAAGAGTGCAGCCAAGAAAAGAAAGGTAGGCTCGCTTGTGCTGGCATCACAGCCATCTCTGGCAAGATAGAGCCAGTTGTGAAAACATGCTCTGAGGCAACTGCAATCACAGTAGTTGCTGATGAAGTAGCATGTCAGGACTACAGTCCTAGCAACTGCTTCCTGAACTTCACTGTTTCTGACAAGGACAAATTCCGGCCATTATAGCTGCAAGATCAAAAGGTATTGATTTCTCAGCCAGTTTTATTCTGAATTCTGAGAAGCTACTTCAAGGTCAACCAGCTGCTCTGTTACCAAGTTTTATTTAACATTCACATTTCCAAATATCATTATCTGCACTGGCAAGAAAACTGGTCATAACATAGAATCCAATAACTGACTCATTTAATCTTGTAATGAACTACTACAGAAGCACAGTCTACTGAGGTACCATAGGCCCTAATTTAGCTAGTAAAAATAGGTTAGGTAACTGATAATTACTTCTCAATGACTGCAAGCCTGGTTTATCATGACTTTCAGGCATTTTCGCTACAGTTACATTTCTGTAATAAAGCTATTTAGTAGCACAGTATCATACCGAAACCCTGCCAACATCTTTTGAAAAAATAAATGAGATTCTATTTAAAGATAGTCTTTTAATATTCAAAATTAGAGTAAGCTAAAAGAACCCATGCTACAACTTTGTCTCAACAAGATGCCTATTAATTCTAAGTAAGCATCTACAGTGTTTTTGCATCTTTCCTAAACTTTCTCATTTGTAGGTGTATTTTCCTCCCGCTGAAATCAGGAGTTCTTTATTTGAATAAAACATCTGGTTAACAGAAAAATCTAAGCAAGCATTTTCAGTCAGTCATTCTCCACTTTCTCGAACAATAAAATGAACACAGTAAAATTAGCCTACTTGGAATGTACTTTGAAACCTGATGACATACACCGCTAACCCTCATTTTCAGGAAGAACATGGAATTTCTTACCATTAGCCTGAATAGCTGCAGAAATATTTTCACTTAGGCACTTGTACACATTCAGCATATCTAAATAAATTCTTCCAAGCTGAATCACAAAGGGGTGTCCAACTGCTTTACATGCTCTTACATTGGTTTTCAGAATGCTACCAAGCTGCTTAACTGTTTCAGGATCCTTCAGAATATCAACATTCTGTTAAAAAAAAAAAAAAAAAGAGTCCATATTTTGTTTAGTGAATAAAACTGCCCTTTAGCTTTCAATATAAAGGTGTAACTTTAAATAATTTATCTTACACAGTGTTAAAGAACATATCGCTGAAATTTACAGACTTTATATATACTGCTGTTTACTTCATGGCACTTGCCACTACTTCAAACAGAGAGTCAGGACAAAACGTCAATTGACTTAATTCTGCTCTGCTGCAGAAGTATTTTTGCTAGAGTGGTACAAGCATTACTGTAGTTGAAGAAAGGAAAAAAAAAACCTAAGAAGGAGGAATTAAGAAAGTGAAAAGAGACAGAAGTGGTCCAAAGGAAAGACAGTCTATTCTTGTTTTAAGAGGGAAGTCAGAGTGAGAAAAGTAACTCAAGCTTGCTTAAGTTTCAGGATCTTATTTAGATTAACTCCAAATGGATAGATCTCTTGTGCAGTGCAAGACTGCTGTTCTTCAACGTGTGGAGATAAAGTATTTTGAAAAGACTGAAAGAAATGGAAGATAAAAGTAAGAAATAAAAATGTACTTTAAGAGAATGATGGAAGAGAAAGGAGGAAGAGTGAACAGTATTTTTAGCATTTTAACTTTTCTGTTATTCAGAAAGAAAACTCACTTCTAAGTCAGGTGAAAGGGAGCCTTGGAAAAAACTACTGAAACATTCTGTACAGTAACACAAAATTGTCCTTTAAATCAGATTAAAGCCAGTATTTACTTTGTCATTTAAGTCTCCTCTCTCAAAACAACTTTTACTGTCACGTCAATCACTGCTTTAGCCATCATTTAATAAAGTCCACCACAGCTACGTACACTTAATGTCATGCCATATGAAAAATAAACCCAGGGTAAAAGAAACATTTAGCAGGTTTTCTTTACCTGAACACAGAATACACGTAAAATTTATGAGCTTACTTTTGTTGCCTGTTGAATTATGCTGTCCCATACTTGATTAGGAAGCAACATGTATTTTTCTATCAGATGCTCCTGCACAGTCTGGTCTGTCTGTGCCCCAATCATGTATCCTACTGCTTCATAGAATGTATGCACCTGGATTGGAACAACAAGAAGTCAAACAGGAAGGTTATTAAAAACAAGAAAGGAAAATTTTACGCTGTTCTGAACTAACATATAGTGAAGGCTGAAAATGGGTTTCACTAAGTACCTTTTTTCCCCACTTGACTTTACACATATGCTATTTAACTCTTAACTAAATATTACCAGACATGTTTAAACTGTGGACTGGATTACATCACTCCTTTAAGTACCTTTTTCCCAATGCCAGATCCACGCTGCCCAAAGTTTCAGTACATTATTGCGACATCTCAGTGTGTCGCATGCGTGCGCGACTTTCTCGCTTCATGAGCTGTGCCCTTCCCACACGCAGGTGCTTTTGGATTGTTCCCCACCCCCCTCACAAATACAAGAGTTATAGGTGTACTATTATACGATATTCTTTCCCGAATCACAAAATTACATTCAGTGTCTTATTTCTTTGTTAAAACGTTCCAGAAATCAAAATTCCGATTAAATGCACTTTAATTCTCCTTCCAAGCGTTCTAATTGAGATCGCAGTAATGCAACCCATCATGCTATTTATACCATAACAGTGTCACTAACAAAAACCTAAGGAATATAATTCAAGCCTTGAAAACCACTACTACATTTCGATACAAAGTAACTTTTCATTAGTCTTTAGGAATTATCCACAATGCTGCATTAAACATACCTGTTGTGGCTGAAGGTCACAGATGATTGTATTAATATTGTTCAAGATTTCATCAATAAATGGCATGACCTCTCCCACTTGAACCTGAACAAAATGTCGGCGGCATTTTTGTGCTATTTTTATGAAGGTATCACAAGCCATATCCTGGACGCCATCATGGGTTTCTAAATTAAATCAAGTCAGTTACTGCTTTGTATTTTTCCCCCATACATGTCCATGTATGGGCATCTTTTTTTTTTTTTAATAATTAAAACAAGTGAAAAACAGATAATTACCATGCATAAATTCAAACAGCTTGTTGACTACTGTCTTCAAAAATTTCCAGTGAGCTCTCAAAAACCGTGGGTATTGACCTACTATATACATTATATTTGATGCAATAATGGCTTTATTGTCTTTTCCTCGCTTTTGTTCACAGAGTCCCAGGAGATCCTACAACATAACATATTTTTAGTTTCCTCTCCAAGTTTGTCCAGTTCAATTAAAAGCACTACAAGTATAAAATCCTACAAGGAGCTATATTAAAGATAAAGGAAAATAGTTGCCATAATCAAGTTCAAAGCCCAAATAAAAACAAAAAAAACCCAAGTAGGTTAAGACTGGGGTGATGCAATTATTTAAGTTTCAGCCAACCAGGAACACTGTGTTTTCAACTATGGAATCTCCATTTTAAATACAACTAAAGATTTCTGCAGGGGGGACTTCAACAAGCCTCACAGTATTGAATACTGACTGAGTAGTTGGTATCAATAAAAATACAGACTCCACATCAAATAGGAGAAATTAAGCTAAATCTTCTGTATGAATTTGTATGACTTAAGTAAGGCCCATTACTCTTGTAAAAATGTTTTGTTTTTTTTTTCCATGCACATATTTACCAAAAATTCAGTTTGATCAATGAATATATGGAAAACAGCAAAATAACAGAGTGCTAGCTAGTTAAAAATGTGGGTTATTTTGCCACTCTCCTTTATTTTATTAGCAATCCCTTTCCGTCTCTTCTGCATCCCCCCCAAAAAAACCCATTTCATCATAAATTAAGTTTTATCCCTGAAATTTTCACTGTGAAAAGGCTATTTGGATTAATGCATTGTTCATGGCTAACGAATTTATCAGCCTTAAATTCAGGATATAAGATTTTCCATTAATTTATTCTTATGAACTTGCTTGCCGTACAAGGTAGCTTACTAAGAACATAGAGCAGTACTTTTTGTAAACTTAGTTTCTTGAGCATGAACTATGAAGTGTGACAAAGGTATTAGTTTTGCACCACGATACCTTAATTACTGTAACAAGGAATCTTTTTTCATCTTCTTCATGCATTGCGCCACTGATTGAGCCTATAGCCCAACACAGGGTATTCAAATTTTTCCATGACCATTCTGTTCCATTCACTTGATTGTGAAGTTTTTCAGTCATAATTCGTTCTGTGTCTGCATAATCCAGATGTGTAAGATAAACTGAAAGACATCAATGTTGAACAGGCACATTTTAAAGCAACAACCTGGATCACAACTCCATAGGCAAAGTTAAATTTGTTTTAAGAAAGAGACAACTAAATTGTTAGGTACCTGAACTCATGACAGAATGAGCTAAAAATTTAGACACAAATTTGTTAAAACTGTATTTTAAAGACAGACAATAAATTTTATTGAGAATCTACATTTGTTCTAAGGCATCTCAGCAAAACACCACATGCAAGCGATGTGAAAAGTCTAAATCAATCAATGTCTCAGGTACCAGTCAAATCAGTAAAGTTGCGAAGTTAAATTATTAACAGAAGGCATACATACTGATGGTCTATAGGGAATATGGGATTGGCTACCTATGGGGGACATTATACAGTGTGTGAGAAGTCAATCAATTTTCTTCTGCTCTTTATTTCAGTGTCATTAAGTCTGCTGGTTGCAATAACCCACCATTAAATGGAGATGGTACTCCTGAACAAGTCTAGATGGGAAGATTCAAGTATTACAACTCAGACACTTGCATCAGCCCCTAATAGGATTACTGTCTCTAATATAAAATTCTAAATCCCAGCAAGTTAAAAGCAATTTAAGGCCAGATTCAGAAACAGTTTTTTACTGTACCACAGCTTCCACCACATTCTCGCCTTTTTTTTTTTTTTCCCCCTCCAAGAGAAGTGAATCTTAAAGGTAATACACTATAAGCAATAGTTAACACCAGAAATCAGACACTAACTAAATCTGCGTTTCCATATAAATAATCCTGTATCTGGAAATATGACGTAAGCTCAGGACATACAGTAATATTTTTGATAAAATAAATTAAACATTTAATACAATAAATCAAACATTTTTTTTCATGTTCCATATGGAAAGATATTAGAAGAATTAATCTAATGCTGGCTGTATCTACATCACAAGTACAAAGGTGAGGAAAAAAAAATTCACAAACACTTTGCATCACACAGCTTCCCCCCCCCGCCCCCAGTTCATAAACCTGTTACTAAACATTCAGTGTTCCCTTAAAGCATTTGCATTTGATAGAAAAATATTTAGTATTGAAGGTTTGATGTCCCAAATATATGACAATTCTAATCACCCCTGCTCCCTCATGTTGCAGTTAGAAAACTGAACTGTTTTTCTTGCCACAAAAAAATCTAAGTTATCACTACAATACATAGGGACTAACAATTCACTGATAAAACGGTCACAGTTGAACGTGAGACTTCTAAAGATAATAGTATACTAGTATGCACACACTAAAAATAAAATACACTTGCTACATTAAATGCTACAGAAATAGCGATTCTGGTGTTCTTCAGTGCACTCACAGCTTTTGATTTTTTTTTTTCTATACGATATGTAATTAATTGCAGCTTTTGTACTTTCAAGCAAGGTCATTATAAGACCTCAGCACTAACTTTGGAAAAAATTTTTGAAGATTAAGTTCAGGCCAGAATTTTGTGGTTTTTTTAAGAAAACTATAAAAAATTTTAAAAGTATTCAGAAGACGTATTGAAGGAAGAAATCATTTTTGCTGAGGAGTTCTTGGTCTACACAAGACTACAATTTGTGAAGTAATAACCAGCAAGTCCACTTCAGAAGAATCCTTCCAATTTAACAGCTTTCTGACAAAACTAAGGTTTCACTAGATCTTGAACATTTTGGTAAAGAAATATCAGAAGGTGTTGTTCAATGGGAAAAGGCAAGAGACAAAAATTAAGTAGTGTATTACTACTTAACCAAATTATACACTACATGCTTAAAAGGGAAGACTTCAGACCAACACTGCCTCCTCCCTTTCAAGTCTGTGTACTCCCCCTCACTGATAATCATTTTACCTACAGGTAATTCTGTAACATACATGCTGCTGATGCAGCTGCACAGACCTACAGCACTAAAATACCAGCTAGTACACTTACCCAATGTTTCTCTCATATTTTTATACAAGTTTATGGAATCTGTATCCTTCATGAATTCTCGTACTACTTCCCCTTGATCATTTTCCACAACTAGGACTTCTTCAGGTTTAGCCATTCGGCTAACCATTAGCAATCGAACCTGTATGTTGCAAAGGGAAGTTAAAATTGAATCAAACTGTAACACGAAAATATACACGTAGCTCCACAGGTGTTTCCAGAGCACTCTGGTCAGGCAGTCTGACCCATATAAGGGGTATATCCAGCACTTCATGAGATTAGCTCACATTAAGATTCTACACAGACATATTAACTAAAAAGCCATTAAGAATAGAGCCTGCCGATTTCTCTCTCTCCATGAACAAGCTAAGTAGTTAAAAAACCAAACGAAACCAAACACAAAAACCTATGAAGTATACTTTCTAGAGCTTCAAAACGTGTATGTAATGTTAGGAGTCTTTTAAAGACCACTTCTTCCACACACACACGTTTTTTTCCTCCAACTGTAACACTCCAGCCTTTATCTGTTTAAAGAAACAGTTTAATACAGATTTTTTTTTTTAAATTTAGTCTTACATTCATAGTGAGTATCTTAAAAAATTTGAAACACTGTATTAATAGTCCTGTCATCTACCAGTGTCACCTTAAAGTATTTTTGCAATTGCAGCACATTAAATAACTAGAGTTGAATCAATTACCAACTACTCAAAGCAAGAAAAGTTTTGTCATCCCTTACATGAAGCAAAATCTCTAAAATCAGGAACAGGATCTAAATCTTTACAGTACCTTTACTCAAGCATGGATTACCTTGGACAATACAGGCAAATAAAGCTGTCTCCTTGGAGGAACATCAAAGTGTTGACTTCCCGAAAGCAATGGAGAAGCAGATGTTGAAAACGGACTTTCCCTGTAGAGCTCAGCAGCTAAATGATTCCAATATTCAAGACAAATCTTGAAAATTTCAGTTTCTTCAACTTCTGATACCAGTAACATATAATGAAGAGCCTGGAAAAGTGGGGTTTAAACATCTGATTACTAATTATTTCTGTAGATAAAACAACAATGCTTCAAGTTCAGTTATCCAAATGATAACTGATAAAATGCCAAATTAACACAGAAGTTAGGAACAAGAGGCATTAAGATTGCAATGACATTACTTACAAGTCAGACTTCTGACCGGCGGAGCAACTCAAAAACAACGCGCCCTGTCAATTACTGTTATTTTCAAAGTGTGTATCAATTCTTAAATCTAAAGTAGCCTAAAGACATCTTTAAAAATGCCATAGCCAAATAAGCCTGTTTGTAAATCATCAAACTCGCAGCCTCTGGAGCTTCTGCAAGGCAACCCTCAACAGCTAGTTTCAAATGACTGCTATTCTCAAGACTATTCCTGCTACTTTGTTCTGGATCCTCAGAGCCTGAAGAACTGAAGGCAACCATCAAAGCCATACTGCTCGCTTGCTTTACACAGAAGCCACCTACCAGAACATTCCATTTCTATACTGATGGAACAGCCACAGCAGACTGAGAAGGGAAGGCCACTGATGCAATTCTGACAGACTGAGATACCAACCACAGAAATAAGAACCACATAGCCAAACATTTTTCGCCTAGCTTATTTTTCAGTCCCCTGGTAAAAGATACCAAAGCAATAGCGCACCAGTGAACAAACCAATGAAACAATGAAATCTGAAGATATTTTCATAGCTTAGGTACTACAGCAACTCAGAGCATTTTAGATGGCAAAGGCCTGATTCAGCATCTGTATCTACAATGTCAAAAGAGGGATTCAAAACAACTATACATTAGTCTTATACACATCAATTTTTCTTGGTAATTTCACTTGCAAGAGCTTATGTAGCTTCCTTCACTAGTCTACACAGGTCCAATGAATCCATGGAACAATTTCAGAAGATCTGCTACATCCAAAGTGCAGGAATAGGAATAAACAGGTTAGAATGACATAGAGCTTTTAAAGGTAACTGTGTAACTATATTCTATTAAACTGGAACTTACAGAAGTGAAATCTGCAGCCATTTTAGGCCAGCCTAAGAACTTCGTTAAACATTTCTGCAAGTTGTTCAAAATTGACTTTTGTAAATGTCTGTTTTAAAGAGTTTAACATAGTTATGCAGGACAAGAGAGGAGGCCAATACCCAAAAACTGCACTCCAACTTACACACAGTTGCACAGGACATGCCACAGCTTCAGCCATTTACACAGATCTTCCTAATAAAGCCTCAACTGCAGTAGAAACTTCGAGCTGTGCTCCCTTGATTCGTAGTTATTTTGAAAGCTTACTACTTGCAAGTTCAGGCATTATTTGGGAACTGTTGATAGTTGTTCTTTTTAAAATAAAAAAAAGTTATACCCCTCTTAGTCCATCTTCTAAATGAGCTACAATTTGATAGTTGCAACCAACTTTATTAATATACCTATTAATATATAGAGGGCTACCTCCAGAAGAAATGTATTGAGAATACTAGACTAGAATTCAGATGGACATGTTACATTACAGGTAATCCACCTGCAAGAGGTACTTCCCCCTCCCAATGGAACCTGGTCTCCAGGTTTGAACTGCGGTATTGTTTTTCTACCTCTGTCTCAGTTCCTCACCCTATTGCCTCCATACCTGCACAGGGCTTGATTCTGGGCACAGGAAGTGGTGCTTCAAGGGGCTATGGAGCCAGTTTCATCCCCTTGGAGCTCAGCAGTGGGAGGGAGCTAGCAAAAAAGTCACCACAGAACAGCTCACCCTCAGCAAAATTTTTATTCACAATTAAAAAAACACAACTGAAAAACCCTAATTTTGTGATCTAGCCCCACTACGGTATGAGATAGTACCTTGAGTGTTTAGTAATCACCTGGAATTAAAAATAGAGTATCATCCTTGAGAATTACATTTAAAGCCTTTCAGTTAAACTTTGGGAAATGGCAAATGAGGCAAGAAGCTACACCAGGATGGAAGCACTGAACTACAGCATGCGCTGCACCCTAGAAACCAGCTTTGGATGCTGAATAAAAACTTAACAGAGCTGCTTCACACAGACTAATGAGAGTCATAGCAACACCTTCTCTATATGAGTGTTAAACACAAAATACGGTATGTAAAGACCCATGGAAAAAGAATATATGAATTTATTTTGAAGCAGCATTGAACACTTTCAAGGAGGAACAAGGAAGAAGAGGGAGAGACAGAGACCTACAGCCTTCAGACACTGTATTCATATAGGATCACTGAAAATAGAGTGCCATTGAAGTATACTAGGAAACAAAAATTTTGAAAGGTTTTTTGTATTATTCATGTCATTTACTAATTATGTGAAGGAAATAGGATTTTTTTTTTTCCCCTCTTACCCATTTTAAGTATGATGATCTAGAAACTGTATTACTAATCACATCCTTTGAGTGTGAGAACATGCTTGCTACATTTTGAAACCGGATAAACTCAGCAACTTACCTCCATTAGTGTTTCCCTCAGATTTAATCTTTTTTCTATAAGTTGACCATGTTCCTTGAGGAACGTGCAGAGAAACAAACTGAGATTCTGAATGAAGTTCTGTTCATCATCTTTTCCATTTGAGTACGCAAGTCGGATATTGGTATTTAAAGGAAGCATCTAAAAAAAACCCAGACATAATCAAGAATTTCCCATTTTATACAGAAGTAGAACCACTGTATATTAACAAATATTTTGCTCTTTTGGCAAAAAAGCCCTCTGCTTTTCATGGCATCTCCTCTTTACAGAGCTTTCTTACAAAAAAGTCTTACAGCTTCTTAATTTCATGCTTGATCCCAGGATGGACAGTAAGGTGAAAATGCAAACAGATATAAAAGTTCTGATGAACTAAACCTTTTTCCATCCCTTGTAACAGCAGCTGTAAACAAGGAAAGTATCTACTCTATCACAGACATTTCCCATTGGCACGGGGCAAAGATGTTCCAAAAATGTGTTTGTTACCTGTTCCTACTAACATTGCTAGTTTCAAAACCTTCCATCATCATCATGTTAAAACAACATGAAAGACCTCCTCCATAATATTTAGAAATTAGCCAGGAAGACTCTGAAGGATACTGGAACATGTTTTCCAGTAATCTTGTAGAGATCTCTGGCACCTCTTAAGAGATGAGTTGGCTTTTAAATTCTATCATTATACAAACAAAACATTTTCAATATTGTCATCAAGTAGTGAACTACATTCTTTAAAGTCAACACTATTAAGCTATAGAACAGCGAAAACAAAGTTTAACACTTTTGCTGCTGCCAGCTTTTGTGTGGTTTTGATCGTTCTCCAACTTCATTTTACAAAGTTAAGAGAGAGTCAAGTATTTGCTATAAATGCAACAGTTTGCATCAAATTCATATGCAACAGTCATGCTAAAAACATGCAGGTTGCAATACATGCCAAATACCCAACCTGGCATCCGACTGATGTTTTAAGGAAAAACTTAGGCCAGCTACATTGGCATTTAGAATCAAGAGCATCATCTGTAAAAACTGAGAAAGTAACCTTCAACTGCCTAACACACCAAATAACTTCGGTGTGTGCAAAAATCTGCCTTTAAATTTAACTGTAACTAAGTAAAAATCCTATAGCTCCACTTGAAGCTGGGAGGAACGAGGGTATTAAAAAAGCATGCTTATTCTAAAGAACCTATAAGATAGACCAACATTGCAAACAGAAGAAAAAATTGTCAAAAAAAACCCCCTTGCAACTCTTCACTAAAGATGCAAATACAAAGAGGAAAGCTACAAACTCACATACCTGAATCTGAACTGCTCAGAAGGGAATCATCAAATTATCTCAGTTTAAAACATGGCTTTATATGACAAACATTTCTATCGATTTCAAAAATTAAATAGCAACTTGCAGAAGTTAGGTCAATTTAGGTCTTACAAGTCACACAGTACACTTTTTTTGCATCTCTCAACTTTCCCCATCAGACAGCCCGAGTGCTCAAAAAGCCTCTTACATTAGTCAAAACAAATCAATGCAGCAGAAATACAGCTGTGATCTAGAGTCAGAAAAATACACTTAGCATCTGCTGATCAAGTCATAAATACCACTGAAGAATAATATTTGTCTGATCAAGAGCTCTATAACGAATATAAATTTGTAAACTGAACGAGGTTCTATAGAAATTGATTCTGCTAAGTGAAACAGCCAAGGGAGAGATTTATTAAAAACATTACCTGTTTTAACTGCATCATGGTCAATGTAAAAAGCGTTACAAACTGCTCTTCATACTGGCTTACACTGACACCTGCAATCTCTGTGAGGCACTTCAAAGAGACATTTCGAAACATGGGAACATTTAAGAACTATTGAGAGAAGAAAAAAAAAAAAAGAGATTATTACAAGACTGTTGCACGCTAAGCTTTTTTGCAACTTTTATTTAAATTTAAGAGCCATCAATTTTTGCATAAGTACCTTGTATATTAGTGTGCTGATTAACTTGGTCTCAAATATATATCCCAGAGGAATCCAGTTCAGAAATCGTAGCAAAGTTTCCAAAGTTGCATGAACTAAGGGAGCATTTTGGGAGTTTTCCTGTAAACGATCATTAGTGTTTATGATATTGTTAGGCATGATGGGGGGAATTTTTCAAAATGTCATTAAAGAAATAAGACTTACCATCACAAACTGACACAGTTGAAATATCTGAGAGAATTCATTGCACATGCTGTAAAAAAAATAAGTTAAAAATTAAGCATTTCCACATTCCGTAAGCAATCCTATCTACTTTAATCAAAATGTCTATGCTCACAGAATAGGTCCTGAAGACCTATGTCCATGGAGGAATTCACAAGCCACCTGGCTTTTACCAATTTGCATGATAGTAACGCATATTTTGAAGTAGCTTGAAGTCTGTGTCTGCAAATTCTGGCTTGGAAATACAAGCAATACTGAATGCTCTGTTAAAACAGTAGGAACCACCAGCCAACAGATGCTACTTGCAATAAGGTAGAAACATCTGTGTGTACAAATAAGTTTGGTATCACCTAACAGTACTGCTTTAAAGAAAAATCAGTAACCCACTCAGTCTCAGAAATCAAATTAGACAAGCTGTAGGTGTTCACTCAAAAGCTCCAAGTGAGAGCAACTATTTAACAGCAAGCACAAAGTCTACCCTATTTACGAAGTTTTAAATATATATACTTGCCTGTCTTTCAAATGCTTGGCTTTTACTTGAGTAATCTGGCCACTGGAAAAATCAAACACTTCTTCACTCAATAGTTTAAGGATGACCATATTATTCTGACAAAGGCTTTCACTAGTCCTGCTTGCTCCCACAATATCGCTTATAAAAGTTGGCCAGTGCTTTGGCCATTCCTGTTTCAGTATCTGAAAAGTGAAGCATCCAGATGTTAGATACATATGCAAAGCCAAGGACTTTATAACAAGGTTTAAAACTTTATGAACTCTAGCTTACCTGAACAAGAATCATATTCAGTTTCCCAATATACACTTTCTCTTTCTGGAGAAGAGAAGAGAGGAGTCAGGTTATGCATAATATTCCCCTCCCTCTTCCTCCCCTGGGAAGAATTCACTTACTTCTACACATGTTGGATCAGATGACGTCTTGATAATTAGGCCAACAACGTATTTTTTAATACCTGCAGAAGAGTTAGGATTTTATTTTCAACTATGCCAGATATCACGAATGTAGTAATAAATATTTTTGAATTCAGATTCTTCAGGTTTTTAAAAGAAACACCTCTAAGGAACATATATGCATTTGTCAGTAAGCACCCCTCTTGACTTGTGTGCTATATGGAAAAAAAATCCACCTTTGTATCAATTCTGCAAGAGCACATTTCAGATGTACAAAATGGCTTTACACTTAACCTATTTCAATAAAACAAAAGGAAAACAGACTAAGGATTAGAGTGCACTTGTAGTAATTTGCACCAGATCAATCTATCAGCTTGCTAAAGGCTGCAAGAAATTGTGAGAAACCCTGCACAACACTGCATTAGGCTGAAGATGGAAAGATGGCATCGAGCACTGTCCAGACCCTGACATATATTGCGATAGGTACTTACAAATGCTGCTGTAGAGCTCCCTCAGTGAAATGTATTTGCACCCATTATGCATTTTCAGATCATACCTAACAAATCCAAAGTTGGCAGATATATTCTTACTACCTCAGCCAAATGTTTTCAATGGCAAGACAAAATACAAACAAGAGAGTCCTCCATCTTCTTTGACTAAGCTTTATTAAGTGAACTCCAAAAATAAATAGAGCCTTCTAAGCACAACTCCAGTTTTAATGCCAAGTTAGCTAGAACTGCACAGAAAGCTTTGACACATCACCTTCACTGTATGTAAAAGTTCAGAGATGCTCCAGTTTACTTAGGTGATCCATTTTAAACACAGGAATTCCTATGCACAGCATTTAAAAGTGAAACACCATGCCAGAGCTTAGCAAAGTTTTCCTTGCACAATCTTGCAAGAACGAAACTTAAAACTTTATTCACCAATATAGTACGATGCACTTGGATTTGGACTACTGTGCTTTTATGGCACACATGGATGCTATGGATTACAAAACTCTTAATAAATTCTGCTTTATTGCTTTTGCTTTTTTTGCTTAAAACACTTTGACAACTGGGGACACAGATTATATTTAAATCACTCGGTTTTGTTGTGTTTTTTCTACAAATGTTTTTAAATGACTTCAGAGTTTTCACCTCCACCACAAAAAAAAAACCAAACACTGTAGCAAGCTATGCTGCCTAAAGTTTCATTTTGCCACCTAATCCTCAGCTCCCTCCTCACCATTAACCTATCAATTACTGAAGACATGGAAACAATGGCTTTGCAAGTGACTTTTCATCACAATACCCATATCTAAAACCATTCTGCACAAAAACATCTGACTTCAAGGAAAGACATGCAGAGAGGATTTGGAGTCATGAACATTAGTAAGAGTTCCAGTTCAACATAGCTTTGACACAATGATCGATCTGAGCACATCAGGGATTAAACACTTTCAAACCAGGCAAGTGTGTTCTTGTCATAGTGAAGTTTTAGAATAGGTGTATATTTTGCTATTCAACTTCGTGAACCCAAAATCTGGTTTCAATCATTTCTTGAACAAGAGAGTCAACTGACTCATGCAGACAAAATGCACACATTGAAGATTTTAGAAAAAGTTGTCACTACCGAGAAGAATGCCTTATGTTGAAGACATTTTGTTTTCCCCTAGCAACTACTCTTAAGTTTTAAAAAGTTTCTAAGACTTTACCAAAACTAGTCCTTTTCTTGCATTTCAGGCCTGAGCCACAGGATTAAGAAAAAGTTTGGTAATTGCATTCTCATGATATCTGGAAAAACTAGGTTTAGACTTTGAGCCATTAGATACATACTAGACACGAGCTGTTCTACAGGTAGTTCTAATTACGAATGAAACTACTCATCATTATCAACTGGGATCAATCCACGCTACTCCAGAAGAATGGTCATTAACAAAGTAAATATCACTGTCAGTCACTGGGTAAGAGTTACTACCAAGCACTAGCATTAGTCTGACATCATAGGTATGTCCTAGTATTTTAGAGCTAAAAAAACCACACGCTTTGCTGAAGCATTAGAGTAATTCACAAATGAGATACGAAAGCCCCCAAAATAGTATGGAAATAGGTTTGCAGTGCCAGAAACTAAACCATTGTAACTGTCTGCCAAACCACTAACGGAAGCCTACTGTTGCAACTCTTTGCATTTCAAAAAGGAATTAGAAAGTGAGTATTGTTCTTAGGCTTCCAACTCCAACCAAAGCTGCGGATTTTCGATCTTGCTGCATCAATACTATTATGCTGTTTGGTTACAACTTGAATGCTATGCCACCATCCATCTGGCCTTGAGATCAGCAGATGAAAACAGTTGCTCAGGTCCAAAACTTCTCCATTGCAAAAAAAAAAAAAAAAAAATGGTCACCACAGCTCAAAAGACAACCTAAAAAGTTTGCTAGTTTTCTCTGGTCATGCTGCAGGCTTCTAAGGTCTTCCATCCAGCAAACAAAGTCATATTCCTAATCCCTTAAAAGCAGCAGCTATCCAATTCTCTAATGCTCTTTTTTTTTTGGCTTAAATGGCATTTTCTACTTTTTTTTTTTTTTTTAAACTGAAGTATTGTGCTTTCTGCTCCATATTTAATAGCTCATTTCTTTATCATTCCACAGGAAAGGTAATTCTCAGTAGAACAAAGATATGTCAACTTTATACTCTGACAAAAATCAACACGTAGGCTAGTTACCATTTTCCAGCAAAACATGTCCAAGAAACTGTTCAAGGGTAGCAGCCCACTGGATTTGCTAAAATCAGTGTGTTTTGAGAACTTAAAAGGAAGTGTTGTTTTAAGGAGGGAGGCACAGGACACGCATAAGCCACAGAACCACTGCCTAAAAGTCTCCTTCAAACACAGAAGCAGCTGAACAAGTCTTGAAGATGGCAACAACACAACTGCCAAGTTCAGACCCTTCATTGAGCCAAACAGGAAGAGATGGACACTCCTGGAAAACAGACCTTCCAATAAAACAGAAGGAAAAAAAAAAAAACAACTGACCACAATACTCAGGACACCCGTAACATTCTTCAAGGACCACCCGAAATCACAGCTACGCTCATCTCATGACAACCTGCAACCAAAGGGAGCAGATTCTGTTTTCCATTCCAAAACTTTCATTGACACAGCACTGGCAGACCTAGCACCTGCTCAAGGACTTGTTCAGAGACTGAACTAGTAGAAAAATAGAGTTACCAGAAGAGTTCAGTAGTTTTACAACTGTTTTGAAACTATCTTCTGCCAGCTTAGCTCCCTGAACCAGTTCACTGAAGGGCCAGAGAAGCACCAGTACTGGCTCAAAGACATGAAAAAGTGCACAGGTGAGGGACACCTTTATCCACAGCAGTTAAGTAGTAGATCAACATAGCTCCAACCTCAAACTACGTTCTAATTATCAGAAAGGCTGGACATCATCACTGTCAGAAGGCCTGGACAAGCACTATTGTTAGCATTTTCTGGTAAGCAAAGTACAAAAAGTACTTTTGTACAAAGTACAAAAAAAGGAAGATAGAGCAAGGACATTAATTCAAGGCCTTTTAGAAAGTTTCTGGATGAACATTAGATATTGTAGTCCTTATGTGAAAGTTGCTCCTCTACAGAGAGGCAAACATACAGTAAAATTGAAACACTTTCTGGAGAGAAAGTATTTTCACAGGTGACCTAAGCTATGCAATGGTTAGAGCTGGATTGGGACAGTGAGGTACATCACATTATCCAACATTAGTAAATTCTGCAGTCTAAACTTCAGAAGTGTGAAATATCCTACAGTTTAATCTTTGGATGTGCTTTTAGAAGCAATTACATCTCATCTGGGCAACCTGAGCTCAGAGGAGTTCCTATCGTGACCAAATACAGCATGTTACCATGAATGTACACAGTCAGCAAGTACACGCCTGTAGACAAAACCCCTTCTTGTAACTTAAGACATACAAGCACATTCTTTTATGCAGTTACAAACATTCAACAAGTGTTGAAAATTACCGTAACTGGTGCTGCAGATGCGAGCTTACACTAATTTACTAAAATTAACAAATTTTCCACTTATATTAAAGAGTAAGAGGCGTAAGTGAAGCAGGTGGACAATGTAACTCAGCAAATTAACATTATTTTGCAATGAAAATTAGAATTTCAAATCCTAAAGCTGAGTTGTCCCTTCCAAGGATGTTCGTATGCATACACACTTATCCTAAACTGTTTAAGTAGTCCCAAAATGTGGTCAAAATACCATCCTATTTTTAGTCTTAAGAAACAATGCTTTCCCATATTGTCCCACAAATCATCTTTCCCCATTAGTGGTGAACCCAATCAATCCATTATCTTTTTGCTTTTCAGCAGGGGAAAAAAAAAAATTCATGAAAATTCTTAAAAAGGGCATAGAGCTTGTCTTCCCACACACACACAGAAGTGCTATGTAGCTCATTCCCCCTTCATTACACAGAGAATCAAAAAAACAGCTCTTTGTGAAGCAGGCCAGAAATTTCCATTAAAATATTAATCACTCCACAGAAAAATCTCTTCTACAGCAGCTTCCACTGTATCAGAAGCTTTATACTTAACTCCAGGACCTTCCTGTGAGCCACTAAACTGCATCTCTCTGAACACTCCCCCCGCTCCCCCCCCACCCCCTCCATTTCAAAATGAGAAAAGTTGTTTCAAAAATGAGAAAAGTTGTACAAGCAATTCAGGTTTCATAATGAAGAAGCGCTTATCCATTCTAACTCAAAACACTCCGGACAAGCTCCCTCTGTTCACAGGAACATAATTTCATTTCACATTGCAGGATTAATGAAACATATCACTGAATTGGAAGACCAAGAAGCCTTTATTTCTAGGCAGGTTTTCACACTGTAAGAGAAAATCCTATTGAGACCATAGCACTTTAATCAAATGACACCCTTTATAAGCATTATTAAACTATCAACTCTACAGAGTATCAGAGTTTAAAGCAATTTAGTATCACCTCAATAAACTGAGCATTTTTACTTGAGAATGATAGTACAATACTCTGGAAATATGCCAAGTTCACAACTGTATGGGACTTTCTGGAATATGCCACCTGCCTTTCACTAAAGCGGCTTCAGTAAGGTTTCAGTGAAAATCACATTACATCATTTGTATACGTGTAAGAGCAATCCAAAGCATTCTCTTAAAAGACTAAATATATTATAGAGAGCAAGTCTAACCCATTGCTATGGTCTACTGCTTAAAGTGTCTGAAGGCTGAACATGCAGGCCTGGCATCTCATTTAACTGAATTTTACCAGTTCTGTGTTCCTAAATTCCACTTTTGTCTAGATAACCAGGTCAGCAATTGGTGCAAACTGCTAACTCCAAAAGCAAACAAAAAAATTCAAGAACAAATAAAAGCAGAGTAATCACATAAGTATTTTTAAAATACTTAAAAATTGTTTTGCCCTATTCCTGTTTTAGAATTATGGGAAGATACAGATGAACTTTCCAAAAGTGCTTACAATCCTCAACCTTCAAAATCAATGACACCTGAGGAACCGAAAAACTTTTTACAATTTAAAAGGTACCAGGGCCAGAAGAGCTCAAGACTAAGAGCTGTTTTAAAATAAAAGCAGACTTAAGAATAGAGTTTCGAGTCCAAAGAAATCCTGTGAAGAAAACATATTTTCCTACTTGCATTTGGAATTCCAGGCTGGAAGCTAAAACCTCCCAGCACTCAGACAGAAGCGATAACAAAACCCTGGCTAACCTCGAGGCCCAGTAAGTCATTCTGATGTACAACTTGAGGTACAGCTAGGGGGGGGGAATCGCAAAAAAAGGTTACAATTCAGGCTCTGTAATTAATGACATCATTTTATTTCTCCAAGAATTCCCAGGCAAGTTGTTTCAAAAACTTTTTCATTCACTGACAGCCCAATTCAGGTCTGCTCTTAACTTCAACTCTTACACACGGCTATTGCTACAAAGGGAAAACAGTATTTTCTCATAAATGGATTTAGTTCCATCTTAACCAAAAGTAAGATTTGTCAATTGTATTTACTACACAAATCAAATTAGACATGTTAAGTTTTATAAAGATACAAGGTAAAATTAACTGATTTATAATCTGCATGAATTGCTTTGTTACTAAGCATTTACTTTGTTACATTGAGTTTCAGTTTCCTGCACCCATTTTACTAGTTACACTTCAAACAGGAAAATCCTGTCAACTAAAGGAATGACCGGAGTCAGAATCAAGGAAACCTCAATTTAACCAGTCGTCTTATCTCCCAGGTAATCAAACCAACTGAATGAGCTCTGGAGCAGTTCTTTTGTACCAGACAGTAATCATCAGAAAAAAAAAAAAAAACAAAAAAAAACCACACCACCAAACCATCACCACAGACCAGATGAAACTGGATTAGAGATGAAACATTGATTCTCCCTCCTACACCATTGAGGCCAAGATGGATCAAATGCCATGGTATGCTAAATCTGTTTGGTTCCTCTTCTATTGATGTACAGGAGAAACCAGACAAGTAAAAGCCAACTAACTCAATTCCCCTAAAATGTGAGGATAAAAGTCAATTCCACAATTTTAGTTTGGCTCTGTGAAAGAGAAAATATGTTAAAAGGTTGAACTAAAGACACACATTTGTTAGGATGAAGGATTTTTTTTCCTCTAGAGTCTTCAGAAGTACAAAAACCAGGAAAAATAAGAAGAGAATACTTAAACTTGATTGCGTAACTACAGACAGTAACTTTATTTTGCATTGTTATGTATTGAGCTATAGTTATTGCATATTCTCAGATGACAGGAACCAGTCAAACAGTACTATTATGCCTGCAAACAGCGAAGTAACAAAAATATAAAACACCAAGTCAAATATATCGGTTCCACAATTCATTCCAGCCGTGCGTCCAGTATTATCTTGGCATCTCAAGAACAGATGAGATAACATGACCCAAAGCACAAGCCAGCATCCTCATCCTACTACCACTTGTTCTCATCTATTCTATGCATTAAGAGCATGTCTTTTTAAGACTTATAATTACTGAATTATATTCTGCATTTGGCACTTGTTCAGTTCCAAACTATCAAGTCTACCTCTGTGACATCTCCTATTCTACTGCACCTCACTTCACCAGTAGGTAGTAGTAAGCTGAGTAACTGCTTCAAACTACCGACTCCTTACTTTCTTCCTGCTCTGCTCTCAGAGCCAAAAACTTTAGGAGAACAACTTCCAAATGCTGAAACTAAGCGCTTGTAGACAGGAGTGTAACAAGATATGAGTAAGTTGAGATACTCTAATTATTAAAAGCACGCAGAAGACAACTTCAGGATGCTCCCTTAGTTTCTCAAAAGGACATAGTTGTGTTTGAGCCTTAGTTGAAGTTTTCCCTAGAAGCCTGAAAGTCTGCTTCCAACAACAGAATGAATGTGAAACCTTACTCTCAAGAAGAGCTACGCTTTATCTGTCAATCTATAGTTGGAAGGAGTGGGGGGGAGGAAGGTGAGAAGAGTAATAATCACAAAAATGTGGAAGTCTCCCTCTACACATTTGTTTTCATTGACATTTACGATTACATTTTAATCAATATAGTTTCAGAACCTAAGCACTGGCAGTAAAAGTTTAAAGCACATCCTAGCATTGTTAATAAAAGCTCCCAGCAGAACACAGAAATGTGGAATAACTTCAATGAGTTCCAAAACCAACTTTTAGTAAAAACAGCCAAGTATAGAATGGTGACAACATTCAATATCAAGAATTTAAAGTGGTTGCACTTAATGTTTTGAAGTCCAAGTTATCACGACTTGACAGAAAGCTACGTGAACAAGCACTAATCCTGTACCATAGAGGTACCTCCATTTACTATAGCTAACGTCTATAATTCAACACACATTGCAAGCTATAAGGGAAGAAGGGAAAGAAACAAAACCAAAACACAGTATTTATTTTAAGACTTCCAGATTCCTTGCAATGACAGAAGACTGGAGTTTGCCCTACGCTGCACTTCCAGTTACAGCAATCTAGCTTCACATACACTCACATGAATTAAAAGCAGACTTTATAGTACCTCACTGCCTAAAAGAATGACCATTAATAGGCAAGACTATGCATTTACTTAGTGTTTCTGTTTTTAAATAATTATGACTGCTTACAATTTCAAAAGAGTCACGTACATCTACACACACCACCAGACGGACCACAGAGTCTACCAGAAAAATGACAGCGTACTGGTGGGGCTGCATACACAGCCCAGACAAGCTGAAGAGAGCCTCCCGTGTCAAGGACAGAGAATCCAAACCTCCACCTCAAAGCCAGGAGCTAACTTCAGAAGCTGCCTAGGCAGAGACCTCTTCAGGTAAGTTTGGCCTGTAAGTCAGTACAACACTTAAATAATGATGTTTCAAAACTGTCAGTCACACCTTTTGCCTTCCCATGACAGAATTTCAGGTGCGCACCATGCCACTGAAACCATTATCACAAAAGGGAAAGACATGGTTTCATCATCCCAAAAAGCACAGATGGTCTTACTACATGACAAAAAGTTCCTAGCCTAATTGTATGTGAAGCTGAAAATCAGATGGGGACTGACAGTCTAAATCTTAAGTTAATACACAAAGTTAAGAGGAGAAGACAAAAATCCCTCCCTACCTTCACACTGGTTCCTTGGAAGAATCTTCCATCTTGTTTTTATCACATTTTCCAAGATTTGCAGTCCATAATACTGAAATTGGAGAAGAACAAAATGTGAGTACATTACTGTAGGACTAACTAACTTTCAGGACTCTCATTCAGTCAGACATTCACACTTAACATCTAAGACCTCAAGATTATTAAACTAACAATTTTATTAAATATATACCTATTCACCCATTTACTGAGGTTTCATGCATTTTTTTTTTCTTGTTTTATTCTTCACTATACTAAGTCCTGCTGTTTGATCATGCTCACACCAGGAGGGGCAGGGGGGGAAATAGTAATGAAAAGCCCTCTGGCAGACAATTTTGGCTATCTGGAGAAGAGAAAGTAGCAGCCAGATATGAATTTGCATCATAAATGACTGCTCATATGTTCAAGTATTAACACAACCAGGCTCCTAAAATATTTAGCAGCTTGGATGGTCTCAAGCTTCCTATCGTTCCTCTCAGAGCTGGAAAAAAAAAAATTTTGTCTTAGCATCACATGTCCTGACACTGGCGCTTTCTAGAGAAAGTATTTCCCAAACTTCACTGGTGTGTTACTTTAGGAACAGCAAGACAACCCACAGGTTTATTTAATTTCAATACCCACCCCAATATGGCAGCTATTTCTACTATTTAAAGATGAACTTTTGTGCTCAGTCAAAGAATAACAAAAATGTGAGTAAGCTCTTGGAAATCCTTTTACCTTTCAGGAATTCCTTCCTATGTTCTTACCCGAAACCGTTACGTTTGCAAAGTAATCGGTAAGGCCAGTCCCTCTGCCCATTTGTCCCTACTAAGAAGTTTGTGATGATATGATCGAAGAACTTTAATATGTAAAACCCCATTAGCATGAATAGACAGGAGAGAGAAAAGGGGACGAGGAGTTTTGCGTTTACTTTATCTGTACTGGATTAGGAAGAAAAAAATATCACATCAATGCCTGAAAGGTAAACTCAAGTTTTCACAGTTAAAAGTTTGGCTGAGAATAAGAGTTCCTCTTTAAAATGGTTAGTTGTTATACAAAGTAGGATCATTAGTATTTCAACCAGAGGGATCACATAAACTTCAATTTAATTAAAAAACACAATGTAGACTGTCCCAAACTACATTGTATTAAAATATCATTTTTGCTGTTCTCATCTTAGCATAACCTACATCCCTTTGCTTCGCTATCCGACCCAAGTTCCCACAAGCTTCACGTGTACATCCTGCATTTGGCAGAATATTCTGTCACCTTCCAAAATCTCGGGTACCGAGAAAAATTATAAGTTAACAGAAAGTTGGCAAGGTATTTTTTTCTTCATGGTCAACAGCAAAAGTTTTATCAACTAGATTTTAATCTGTAAATTTACTTAATTAACATAAAAGCTAAATGAAATCAAGGGAACGTTCATATAGGAAAATGTATGAAAACATTCTTAAGCAAAGTGCTTCACTTCACAGTAAGTGATTTCAGCCACTGCTACAGATTTATAGACACCATCTGCACCTGATCCAGGCTCACAATACAAAATATACTTACAAAGGCTTCTAACAATGTTGAAAGTATGAACATTGGTTATCAGACTGTGCTAACTTTCCTGAAGCAGATCTAAACTCTAGTTAAGCTTCTAGATTTTACACACACAGGTATTAATAGCCCTTTCAGATAACAGCTAACCAAAAATATTAATTTTGCTTCCAAACTTTTTCCCCACAAGTCAACTTATTTGGCTTTTAAGACCACAATGGCAAGACTGGTTTTGTTTTACAAAAGCACTACATGACCAAACAAAACTGAAGTGAAAATCCTGACATAAACTAAGGACAGACCTCATCTTTAGTCTTTGTTTCCCCACATAGGACTTCCTCTGACTCAAAGAAAAGGACACACACCTCTTGCCACTCCTATCCCTCATTATCTTCTCAAATATCTAATTCAGGGTCATGTACCTTAAACTGTGAAGAGGTTCACGCTGTCTAGGTTTCTACTCATTCTTTTGCACATGTGACTTCAATTCTGCCCTCTCCTAGTGTCTTGTTCATCTTTTCCTCAGTACTAATAATATTCATTTTTCCTAACACTCGCACATGAAATGAAATGGCAGCAGTAATAAAATCACTGTGTACGATCTTCACCTACACATCTTTCTTGCCATACCACGTTTGAAGGCTTCATCAGGCTGCCTGAAGACTCCGCAAGGGGCTTTCTGGGTTTTTTATTTTGTTTTTAAGCTTCATTTGATTTGATGGTTCTAATTTTTGGTATTTCCCTGACAACGAGATACACCAAGCCTAAAAAAAGTCACTGACACCAACTACAAGTTTTGCCATCTGAACTATCAGAAGCGTACTTTTTAAATCAACTATTGCGACAGTGCATGCAAACACATTTAAACTGCGCATATAATAGAAGTCTTTCAAAATTCATTTGCTCTTGGTTTGCTTATTTCTAATTGTCTAATAGCAATTCAATGCTCAGTTATGAAGATGAGGGACAGGTAACAGCAAAGACTGAAAAAAGTATGAAATGATCCCTATGGTAGAAATTTCTATGGTACCCTTATTACTTATTCTATGCACCGAATCCCTTTCCCTCCCACCTCCCAAGAAACAAAAACAATTGATGAACAGAATTCAGTTAAAGGGAATCAAAAGGGTAGACCTTGTGGAGGCCTGCCGTCAAAGCCTAGCTGTGTCAGTTGCACAGGAAGACACCCCTTTTCTTCCTATTACAAGCAATCAACATAATGGAACATTATGATTAATATCAGGTAGTGTTAACAGCTTTAATTAAAGAAAAAATATGATTGCATAAAAGCCAAATGTCATAGTGCATAAATTTAGCACCAAATCATTTGCAATTTATGTAAATTGAAGAATTCTTTACCTGTTGCTTTCTTTCTGTTCCTCTAATCATCTCATTTTTCACAAGACAAATTTGAGTTTTTAAAAATACTGTTGATAAATCAACTTAAACATTAGTAATGTCTGTCAGTATAAAAAGCAAAGTTTACCAGGCAAGCAAACAGGCAAACACTGTTACTTAAAGGTTAGCACTTTGAGGAAGTTCTTTAAACTGTTTTCCCCTAAACTTCAGAGAGCGATGAAAAAAATGGAACTGTTTCATGAATACCGCCTGATTTCAGAAACCATCCAAACACGATTATTTTCTGTTCGAACACAGTGTGTATCAAGCAGAAAAACATGCATGTCAGTTATTTGAGATAATAATCATCAACTTAAGACAGTGAAAACACATTTCGATCACCTTTTCGGTTCAAACTTCAGAAGTCTTAGGTAAAGCATTTAAAATTGTAGAAAAAAACTGAATGCTGCCCCTTTTAGTCTCTACCATGATGGATGGATTTAAAACAGCAGTACAAAGTAAATGTGTTCTGCGTATTAGTAAAGACTGATCTCATACTACCAAGAGTTTGGGGTGCTTAACTTTCATTGATTGCTCAAAATCTTGGCCTAATAAGGTTTCCATTTTGTCTTTAATACACCTAGGGACAAATTCTCTCCTCAGTTACGTGCACATGGCTCCTCTTAGCACCAAAAACAGCCAAGCACCTACCCAAGGACAAAATGTGGCTCTAGGAGACTTTTCATTACTCAGATGTATACAGACACACACCAATCTTTGGAACTGGCATTATGCTTGTATGTGCCTTGAAAAAACCCTTTATTTCCAATTTAGCTCTTCCTTTTTTTTTTTTTGTTTTAAAAAGAGGGGAAAGAAACTCTTGTCAATGTAAAAGAAGGTTCAAATATTTTGTCCATTTACACTTCTTGTTTAAAGCCAACTTTGGGAACAAGACAATAAAAAAAAAAATGTGGTTCGAATCAAGAGAGTCTATGGCTAAAAATGAGATACCTTCCTCAAAGTTTATGAATGGAAGAAAGAGGAAAACCAAATAAATAAAAGTTAATTTGCTTACTTTGGTATTCATGTTCTGAGAGAACTCCAAAATAGTATCAACTCTTGTCCACGCATCGGGATGTTCTTTTAAGTGAGTCAAGACTTCCTGTGCCATTCTTTGCTAAAAGCAAGTTTGATTTAAAAAAAGTATTAGTATTAGATTATTTAAGAAATTTTATACTGTCAGTGAAGACATTAATATAAAAGACGTCTTTAAATCACTTATCCAAGAGTTAGGCAGAACTCAATCAGGAGCAACAAGTCCCTTAAGCCTCCTTCTGTGTGACAGTTAAAGTTCATTAATAACCAAACTCCAAAAACGCCTTGTTGCAAGACAGTCATTTACTTACTTCCACTCTTCCATACTGAAAGATTCATCTAGACCGGCAGCGAATGTGTTGAGAACGGCACACGTTATAGGGAAAACATACTAGGGAATGAAGTTTTCTCCCATTCAAGGAAGTAATCTAGATAAGATTTTACTCAAGGGTACCCACATTTTCTAGTTCTACTGGAAGCATTCATACAAAATGCCAGCTTTAAGGAGTACTGTATCACGCTGCAAAGTTGTTGATGTAGGAACTGTTGATTTTATTCTGAAGAACCTCGGAGCAGAGCATTAAATGTCTCCAATCCCCACTTCTGAGGAATCCCTTGATGTATCTAACAGCTTACAAAACAATAATAAAAACTGACTGGGGGGGAGGAACAGAGTTGGTCATGCTAATCGTTTTTTCTTCCTTGGAACTGACATTACCAATTACTGTCCTAGATACTATGGTTTCAGTAACTTGCAAAACCTCATCCGAAGCAATTACACACGGAAATAGCTGAATTCATTTCAGCTGTCCTTTTCAAAAGCCTGGATGTCCATAAGCATTTTTTTTTTTAGGAAGCCAAATGATGTTAGCTATTTCCAAAAACGCAGTTTACTGACAAATCTTGCTGCAAATTATATCACCTACAAGCATCAGACACTGTCTTACCAAGAAGATGAACATTTTACATCGCAATTAACAGAACTTAGTTCATTCTTTCACTGCACTGTAGAGTCAATGGAATTACAAAGCAGTTAAAAGTTTCACTTTAGGATTAACTTCAACAATCAGAACTTACTACAGCTATGCAGATTTCTAGTCTGCTACAAGAACATACTTGAGCTAATCATCAACTGCTGCAAGAAAACATGTATTTTCAGTAAGACAGAAACCCCATCAAGACCCAAAATCTATATACATATAACACGAGAAACAGACAAATTGCGTATGGGATTTACCAAATTAAAATTGAAAGCTGCAACAGTAAAGAGCAAGAATGTCTAAAATATCTGCACTATATTGGCATCCCTACTTAATATAATCAAGCATAATGGAGCAATTCCCAGTCTGACACTGACTTTGACTAGCAAGTAAGTCCCTGTAGATTTGATATGGGGAAGTACCACACAAATATTCCTTTTAAGTCCAAAAGCAGTACAACCATGTTCTCACAGTATGACATCAGAGCTTAAGGGAAAAAAAAAAAAAATCAGCACTTTTAATGCAGTTTAGTGTAAGAGGAAAAGAATAGCTGTATTACTTCCAGGTTCAACCTGGATGTGGTTTTATACTGGCCTCCTTAGTGCTCCTAATACCGGTCACATATCACAGGATCAAATTTCAACACCAACAAAATACAGATGCTCAATATCCTTCTCCCAAGCACTGAAAAGTTTGCTCTCATACCCACTAACCCCTTTTCTGGACATCAATTCCTGTAGTTTCATAAAAACAGTATAAATTTAACAGTAATGCTTAATCAAGATCGAAGCTTCACTGTGTTGTTGCTACCAAAAAGAGTATCAGTTAGCAAATAATCCTTCTGGACACGTGAAGGTCTAACAGACCAATGGAACTACGAGTCTGGGATGAGTACAGGTGAACACCTATGAGTTGTCTGAAGTCTCCTTAGTCATGCGTTGCACTGGCGTGGGGTTGGGGACATTCTTTCTTTTCAGAGAAGTATACCAAAAAAAAGCTAAGAACAGAAAAAAATGTAAAAGTCCAGGACAGAAAAGAGCTTCTTTCTTGCCTAATACAGATCAGCAGATAAGCGTTTTGCAAGCAGAGATAAGAATTAAGCAGAAGGAGGAGACAGGTGAATCTGAAAGCAAGTTCAGCATGGGCCACCCAGGCTGCACTCTAAACCTTTTTTCAGCCTAACATTACCCTAAGCTGTTCCAGGCAAACCATTGTTAATCTCCCAATTTTAGTATTTAGTTTAGAAGCATTTTTTCCTGCAGGAACTTTTGAACTCCTTGGAAGAGGTAAGAGCTCACAGACTCACTGAAATAGGTCTCCACCTTTGGAAACGTACTAAAATAGCAAACTAAACTTTCATTAAAATGGCACATATTAGTACATGTATTTAAAACAGGTTTATTTCATAATTCACTTTTGCCAGTTAAGCACCACCTCTTGAATTTTTGCTTCTTTTGCATTAATTTCCTAAATACCAGAGACTATACCCAGCTGTTTTAAGTGAAGCAACTTCTCACAATACCAGAACAATGGCAATTTGATCATTGTATTTAGTGTTAATCCTCTGTTCTCCTTACAAACCTTCCCAACTTTTTAAACTCTGTTCAAACCAAACAATACTATAAGCACCACCTATTTTGTAAGGCAGTACAGTAAACAAACATATCACTTACAAAACAAGCACTCAGAAGTCCATCCTTTTAAGGCAAAAGCTACAAGCAGTTTTCTGTCATATGATCATTTAAAAAACTACAGCTAGTAACTATTTGAATTTAGGAAACTCAAAACGCAAATATTTCAAAAAACAGCAAGGTATTTCAGAACCTGTACGAATTCACATTAGTAAGTCTTACAAAGCTTTTTTTTTTTTAACAGAGACACACAAAACAAGTATAAGCAAGTATATTATTGTTTATTCTAACAGCTGGAAGGAATAGAAAAGCATCAGCTACTTTGTCTCATTTTAATTCACTTATTGTTGTTGTGCAAGAATATCTTAGTAAGAGATGCCTGACCCTGAAACTCCCAATTTCTTAAGCACGAACAATTAAAATTTGCCAGAAGAGGAACTACGCCAACACCCTTGTAGCAATACTTGCTTTCAACATTTAAGTCTTATTTCCAAAGGAGTTCAAGACATAGATAAAAGCAATACAAGATTCAGTTTCAAGACAATATATGCAAACACACAAATGCACACATTTCCCCCAGTTTAAACTTAAGACTTCACAATCCGCACTAAGTCCAAAGAAAAGAGTGCAAGAAGAACCTGTGCAGACAAACACTAATGGGGAAAAAAACCTAGACATAAGAGAGGACAAACTCTTCTCTTAAATGCATGTGACATGCTTCTTTGTAAGTACAAACACAGTAATAGCATCATTAAGATTTTTCTTTTAAATACAATCCCTCAGTGAAGCCAATATTAAATTTATGGCTTCACAATCCATTGTCCGTAACAGGTAACTCAGACCTTCCTGAAGAACTAAGTCAGAGAAGGCAAGCTGCAAGCAGAAGCGCCCTTACCAAATTGTACTTGCTCATACTTTTCAACAGCAGAAGGCATGCTAGAAATGAACACGCACTAAACTAACATTTTTCTAAGTGTCATTTCAATGTTCATTACATGAGGCCTGCCTTTACACCAGAGCACGGGAATTACCAGTGATATTCCAGTCACTAGCAGAGCAAATTCACTAGTATTACTGATTTTTATTGAAGTGAATTAATTTTGCTCAACTGATTTGTTATAAGGTTAAACATGGTCAATAAACGTAGGTTCTAAAGCCACATTACCTGCGCACCTTCTCCATGGTACAAGCAGTTCACCACATTGTCCAAGAGATTGATATCCAGTTTCTGGTTAAAATCCAGCAGCTGACGAGCTGCATGGTCTGCTAACATTGTCATAATTGCTGGCATAGATTACTGCAAAATAAATAAAAAAAAATTTGATCAATTAATAAGAAATTATTAGATGTAATTGTAAAGCAAGTGCTTTAACATAAGCATCTCTTGAATGAGACGAGCCATGTTAGCAGTACTAGATAGCACTGAATACCACACTCCTTCAATTACTGAGCAAATAGCAGGACAAACCCTTTCTGAAAAATTCACACGTCACTACCCCAACCAAATTCTCAGGGTCTTCAGCAGGTATAACACATAATAACAGTCTGACTAGTCAATGGGCTGTACTATCAGCAAGATAAAACTTATTTCAAAGCAGGTATCAACCGCTACCAGTCCCTAAACACATGTAAAACAGTAAGTTTACTAGTAGAAATACCTAGTATCATTACAACCAAAACCCATACTAGCAATCAGTTGAATTTTGAGTTTCTGAGGCTAGCATGCACATTTAGATGATCAGTTCTAAAAGCTTTTAAACAATTGGTTATGGAAGTGAAATGTGATCTACATACACGGTAAGAAATTAGCCAGAGGGCATTTTTCAAATACTTGGGGAAAAAAAACTTACAAGTTAACTACATACAAGTAAAATATTACCATTGATACTAAGAAAGTTGACTGTTTGAAGGCACTTTGAGAGGATGAAGTAAGGGGACTGTTAAGTCAGCAGGTTACTCCGTGTACCGCGTTAGATCACTTCAAACTGAAATGGAATTCTACTGGAGGTTTCAGGTCCCGTAAAACCAGCGACACAGGCATTAACTCTTTGTCCTAGATATAGCAGCCTTGATATTATGCAAAGGAAGTCAGGTGGGGTATGTGTGATTGTGGGTGTGCATGTAAGATGCTTACCAGCCAGAGACTGGTACAAGATAAAGGCAATCACGAAAAGCAAGAAAATAAGCCAGGAACCACAGAATTGTGGATGGTAAATTATACTCTAACCTTTTCACACCACCCCCCATGTTGGAAGCACCTGATCAAGTTTATTGCCCTCTTCTCACAGTCACTGGCAACTGTAACACATATTCCTCCCCTCTCCTCTACAGCAGCTCTCCTGCCATTCACCCTCCTTTTCAGAATCTTCCGTAAAGCTACAAATTTCATATAAAACTGCTCACTTGAGAAATAGCCAGAAGTCTGGACAACTGCAAGATCACCCAAAAAGTTACACTAGAGCTATCTGCATACTCAGAAAGATACAATTTGAAACTCTTGCAGAAACACCCCCAATACGCCCAGCCAACCCGTTCTTCAGAGTATGCTAGAAGTCAGATCTGCTCTTACTAATTTCATGCGTAAGTATGAGTTTGTTTTATGCCTGACATATTTAAGTCATGCTCAAAAGTAAAGAGCAAGACAAACCTGTGCCTCAACCCAAGTAATTACTAATTAAGTAAAGTCCTACAGTAGCATACAGACAAGGCAAATCTTTTGTTTAGAAATGTGTATTTGCAAGTAGCATCAAGCAATTTCCTTTACTTCTATACAGAAAGATATTAACTTCAAAAAACAAACATTTTAATTGTATTTTGAAGTGAAAAAAACTCATTTAGTTAGTATTACTATGCTAACGTAATTATTTTGAGGGTTCCATCCCAACATCCAGTCAGCCTTTTTACAACACCTGCCTGGAAAAACAGGAGGAAATAAACATCAAGCAGAAACCGAAATAAATTAGAACTAACACTCCACATCTGTCCTTTCCCCACCCCCAACTCCTAAAAGTTTTCAGAATTGCAATGTTAAGTATGGTAGCAAGAAACAAAACAGCAGGGAAGGCCGATTTCCTTCTCTTAACTCAGGACACTTGAAAATTTCATCTCGCAGAGGAGCAGCAAGCAGCACTACTAGAAGGAAACTGCAGCAATTAATACGCTCTTCAGCTCAGAACAGTTAATACTCCCACCAGACACGCGTGCTTTCAGGCACGCCCCTTTTTGTTCACATCTGGCCTCCATGGCTGAACCGTGAGCTGGGAAAGCGGTTTTCAAACTACAATAAATGTGGTAAATCAGTCGTTTCTCAGGTAGGGCCGTTCATTTCAGATTTAAGCCTCTTTCGGTGGTTTTTACGCAGCCCTAAGAGCACAAACGAGGAGCCACGTGACCAAGCGAAGTTATTAACCACATGGAAGCAGAAAGGAAATGTTTTGAATAGGGCCCTTTGCCACTCCCAGCATTATCTTCAAAATGACCTACCTACTCGCAAACTGAAATACAGAAATGGCGGCTTTGTGGTCAATACCAACTGCAATCAACTCGATTTCCTACTCCTAACAACGTACCCACATGGAGCTTATAATCTTGGATTTACTATACACCTATACTCCCCATCATGCCTGAACCCCTGAACAGGTTTAAACCTCAGCTCTAAGAACCACCACTAATCAGTTCTTCAACACCGCCAATAAACGGGGAAACAGAAACAAAAGAAGAGAAAAAGTATTTAAAAAAATTCTGAACTGCAACATAGCAAGAATCTGACATCTACCGAAGGTCAAAAGAACTGCATTTACAGCACTGTTTACATAGTTATCCCAACTCTCGATGACCCTGGACCTTTAAGTTTAACACAACAGTTAGCTTATTATGATATACCCGATTCATTTACGCATGTAGGGCACAGGAATAAAAGCATACATTTTAATAGTAAGAAATGCTGAGTGTTCACAATGAACCCTAGAGCACTTTCAACCCAGCTACTTAAAGCTCATTGGGGGCAGCGATTAAAAAAAAAACCCAACCCTAGGAGAGTCACTCTGCCCCATTCCTAAGCATGCAATTCCGCTACTGAACGCAAGTGAATTACCGCCCCACTACCCTCTTCCAACGAATTAGTTGCATCACTTGTAAATTCCTCCAGCTGCACGGTATGAAACGGAGCACATCACAAACGCATTCGCATTACGCTTACCACACCAGCAATCGCAATGAAACGACTCCTTCCCTCGCTACTTTACACACGTGTGCCCGCGTACGAGATTAAATAACACCGCTTCGCAAACATCTGCCCGACACCTCGGAGCATTCGTTTTCGGCACGGCCGCGCCCGACACGGAGCACCCCCGAAATAACTCACACCCACCCAGCGCGGAG